CAACAGCAACAACAGCATATTGATGAGCCGGTTGGTGGTTGTGACGGGGGCGCTGAACCACGTCCCCAGGCGACGTCGGAGGCGGAGGCGGTAACTGCTGCGGCGGCACTGGCGGGGCCCCCGGAGCAGCACCACCACCAGGACGCAGGCGCCGCCGCCGCGGCCGCCGCAGCGCCGCCGGAGGACCTGGAAGGAGGGGCCCACGCAGCGGCGGCGGCGGTCGCAAGCAGCAGGCGGCGGCGCAGCGGCGGTACGGCAGCCGGCAGGGCTCCAGCTTACGACGGCATTTTCTTACGCAAAGCCATCCAGTTGGCGGACCGGCTGCTGCCGGCCTTTGACACGCCCTCGGGGCTGCCGGCGCTGTTCGTACACCTGAAGAAGGTACGTACGTGCTGGAGGGGGGAGCCACCGGGGCTGTAGCTGTACCTGCGGCCGTGGCTGTAGCTGGGGTTGGGTTTGGCTGGGGGTTCCTCTGGACTGCGGGGCTGTAGGCGGTCCTCCGTGAGGTGTTGGGAGCCCGTAAGGTGAAGGGGGGTAAGGGGGGGTTAATGTATGCAGGAAGGGGCTGTAGCGAGTTGGCTGAAGGGAGGGCGGGACACGAATGAACACGCGCTCCAACCCCGAACCCGTGCTGAATGATGAGAGCTGGGCTGTCGGGGTTGAGAGCCGCCGAGTGAGAGCTGAGACAAGGGCCGGGGGTTCCGAGCGGGGAGGGCGATGTGGCTCGGTCCTGGTTGCTTGCGTGGCTGTGAGGATGATGCGGCCTCTCTCGCTGGGTGCTGTTGTCATCTTGCACTGCCCGGTTGCATGCATGTCTGTCTGTCTGTCTGTCTTTATTCTCTCCTCGCAGATGAATCTTATCCACAGACCACCTCCCGCAATGCACGTGTTTCATTTCCAGAACAACAATAACAACCACAACAGCAACCATTCCCGAGGAAACTCCCTCATCGGCTTGCTGGCAAACCCCCAAACCCCGCACACGCGCCCCCAGGGCCCGGTCCACGACACACACAACAGCACCTGCACCGCCTGTGCGGGTACCCTGCTGCTGGAGTTCGGCATGCTGACGGCGCTGACAGGTATAGTATAGCAGTAGTGATGGTGGGTACAACGGGACTGGGGAATAAAGCGGAAAGGAGTTAAGAAACTGGGGGTGGGAAAGGAGGGGTGACGATACCGAACCCCCATTCCATGGAATACAAAGCCAGCCAAGCGCAGAGCACCCGCGAGGCAGCTGGAGGAGGTTCACGAAGATTAGGAGGGGGGAAATGCACAATGGTGGGGGGGAGATTGGCGATCGGCGGGATTGTGGATGGGCGTGTAAGACTCCCCTATGTTGGCTGCTGCTGAGAGGCCGTCCCCATCTTGCTGGGAGTTGCGCCGCGCGGGATGGCGGGTCCTGGGTGAATGGTTGAATGGATGTCTATGTATGTGCGGCCAACCCTTCCGTGCGCTTTGGTGTCTTGTTCAGGCAACCCGGTATACCTGGAGCGTGCTGAGTACGCCGCGCGGCTGTTGTACGACAGACGCAGCCGGCTGGGCCTTGTGGGCGCCTCGCTCAACGTGTTGAGCAGCGAGTGGCACAGCAAGGAGAGCACCATAGGGCCCGGGTCGGATTCGTACTACGAGTACCTGCTCAAGGTAAGTGGGGGTTTGGATGTCAGGGAGACGGCGGGGCCTGACTCTTGGAGAACGAACACGAAACACGGACACGAAAACCTGTGTCTCTTCTCCCCCCCCCGCCTGTCCTCTCACTCACCCGCCCCCAAACGGCAAATAATCCCACCTCCCCCACCCC